CACTTAAACTTAGTCTTAATTTACTCATGTGGAGAAAGTACAGTCACATTTTTTTCATGGTAGTCCTTAAGGCTAAATGGGATGTGAGAAATGTCAAGCGCCCTGCATGCACTCAAGAGAGGTCTTCCCTTCCTCTCTTCGGTCTTTCCTCGAATTTATCTATGCTAGCAGAGAATGGATGAGTCTCCCTGTAGAGTTCTTAGGGGACAAGAGTCCAAACAAATGATAAAAGGAAGACCAAACATGTCCCTTCTGAGAAAAAAATGTAAAAGGGTTTGCTTCGCATATAAAAGAGCAGGCAATGAGTGAAGAGTTGATCTGGAAGTTTGACAAAGCTTTGTAATTGTTTTATTGTTTCTGTTTTTGTGAAACCACCATCAAATTTCCACATCAGATATTTAGGCCTAGATACCAAGTTTAATTTTTGGCCACTGAAAGAGTCTCAGTGCACATATGAGGCCCAACTTCTTGTTTGATGTTTTCTATAAAAGCTTTATAGAAAGCATTTCTAGAGCTTCTGCAGATTCAGGCCATTGATATGTACAAAGCTCCAAAAATGGGTTTAGGACATCTTGAATGTTCCATGTAAGGTTATAGAAATATCATAATCTCGAGGGACTCCTGTAGAATCGGTTGGTGGCCCTGTACTTGGCAAGATCATGGCAGCTGCCAGCCAAATCCTCCTCCTGATAGCAAGTGAAAGGGTGTGTGTGTGTGTGTATGGGTGGGGGTACTTCCAAATGAAGCCACTTAAAGAACAACAGTTGTCTCTCCCTTCTGGATGTCCTGAAAAACTGTTCCACAATTCTACTTTGAGTGGAAGAGTTTTAGGTCTGTTTTTCCAGAATCACTTGTTATTTGGGAGATAGCATGGTGTATAGGAAAGGTCAGTGGGCTGGAGGGAAAATGAAGAATGGTTCTCATCCAAGGTCTGCCACTTCCTGGGAAAAGCGACCTGTCCAAAGTCACCTGATAAATAAATGCCTGCAGTTATTAGAATGACTCAACCCTTGCCAGAAAACTTTTCTCCCAATCCATGTTTCGATGGTGTTGGATGAACACTGGGGAGATAAGAACACCCAAGGTCTATACTCATCATGCCAGATTTCCACTTTATTATTCACACACTATTTTGAATGTGCAAGTTGGAAAGAAAATAATGATTCTTTCCAAAGTCAAAGTCAAATCGAATACTTCTTCTGGAGCCCCGATGACCCCAGTGGGTTGCTGGAGGAATTATCCCCTCACTTTGCTCCTTACCTTATCCTCACCAGAAGTGGTGGGCATGGGGGTGGGAAAGAATGATACACATGTGAGCCTATGTCAATGTCCCTCCTTCCTGGTCCCCAGCTTTTGCTGGACTCAGCTTATTCTTTTTCTTCTTTATTACCTTTGGCCAATTAACATGGAGAGAAGATCAAACTACAGGCCCTTCAGAGGGGGAATACCAAAGTCCTTTTCCCACTGTTCTGCTTACAGAATGGTGGGTAGGCCCTGGCTAGGAGAAGGTTTTGGAGCCTAGAGGGCTGAGAGTAAAGCCTAGAGATGGTCTGTGATTAAGCCTTTCTCTGCCTCCCATCAGCCCAGGTGGTAGATGCACTGGTGAAAGTCAATCATCAGCCCCCCAACCCCACATAATCACACACGTCGGCACGATAGGACAGGCATCTGCAATGTACAAAGTAATGGCTTCAGCATCTGTTTTCGGAGATCCTTTAAGAAGGACTTGGATAATTTCTTTCTTTCTTCTAAAATAATCCTCTCTTTTGGGCCAACTTGCTTATACACCTATGGGCATGTCTCCAGTGCCTTGGCTATTACGGTCTTTAAGTGACAGCTTAATATATTTTTAAGATTGAGGGAGCCAGCGACAATTCTCGAGGAGCATGTTTACATTGGATCGGCTCACTCAGGCAGCGTGCCAGCCGTGTTGCATGCTGCAGGAACTGGAGGTGAAAGCAGGAAGGGCTGAGGACAGAGGGGAGGATGAAGCTGGAGGACAGGAAAGCCAAGAGGGAGGGGATGCAGACAAGGGTGTGGGGAGACGCCCAGCTGAACCTGGCAATGCACTTAGAACCATCAATTAATGCTCCTTTGACATTGCGTTGAGGGCTGAAAAGGAGAACCCTTTGGAGCCAGTCCATGGCACATGCACAGTCCACAGTGAACTGCTCTTAGATCTCTTTGTCCTGGTCCTTTCTAAATTCCTGCAAGTGGCTCCTTGGCAGCCAGCGGGCCTGTATTATTGCAGAGCCTAAATCGGCTTCAGCACATCTTCTTAGCAATCTCAGATAAGGAGCTTGACCCCTCTGGGCCTGTTTCCTTGCCTAAAAAGTGAAAAGAGCCCCATGTCCCCTTCCAGGCCTAAAATTCTATGACTCCAGAGTGAAATGATGGTAATCTCTGCTCCATGTAAGCAGATTTTGTATCTGCTGGGGTGGAATGAAGAGGAGATCAACGTTCAGCTTATCGAGACTGAGCAACTCGCTTTGGTTCAGCTGAATGAAAATTAGCTGCTCTTCAGATGGGATAGTCAGAAAGAAAAGTATGTCCTTCATTCACCAAAAGACTCCTTTCAGCATTCACACACCCATCAAAATATACCATTGCCACCAATAATAATAACTAACTCTATTTGAGACCTTCTGGGCTGAGCCTTTGTATACATTATCTCATTTAATGATAACAGATGCCTTGGGAGGTAGATGCTGCTACTGTCTCTCCAATTTTCAGATAAGGACACAGACTCAGAAGTTAATTAGGTAGTACCCAAGAGGATGCGTACGTGTGTACTACTTAGCTGTAAGTGGTAGTAAGTGTTAGAGCTGGGGTATGAACCTTGATCTGGTTACAAGAACAGTAGTACCAGTATTCTTAAATACGCTTAAAAAACAATAGAAGAACAAATCTGCAGTAGTGGTTGATTTCACCAAAAGAAATGGCATTTGGCCTTCAAAGCCCTTTATTACCAAGGAATGCTGACTATTCTCAGGGAACTCTCTGTGCTAGGAAACCTTCTCTTTCCCAGTAGAAAAACAAATGATGGCTCAAGAGCGGCCATTGGCAGCATTTAATTTAGCACAGATGAGAGGAGGCAGGTAACTATTTCTAAGCTCTGCCACTAACTAGGTATGTGATCCACGGTGAGCCACTCAGTTCGTCTGGGATTGGTTAGACAATCTCTAAGGCTACTCCAGGGTTTGGATGTTATGTTCTCTTGAAGACCTTTTCATGACTTTCCAGCTGCTAGGGATTCCTCATACCCCACTTCCCCTTGGGGTTAGGGCAGTAGAGACAGTTTGTATGCCATTTTAAACCATTTCTCATTTTGTAAATAGGTCCCTTGCAGCTCCAAGAGTCTATGAAATCGTTTCAAAATGCCTAAGTGTGATTATGCATGCTGAAGCCAAATGTTATAAAACCTCCCAGTGCTGCAGATTTAAAGAGTAAATATGCAATAAAATCTTTTCAGCATGCTGTTGGTATGACACGGTGTTTAATCACTATTATAACGTTCAGCAAGGAGAGTTTCTCCCCCACTCCCTTCCCTTCCCTTGACTTTTTGAGTTGAAGACATTGGTTAATCTACATAGTGGTGATTGTCCTCCTCATTGCCACAGTCCCAAGAAGTTAAAAAAAAAAAAAAAATCTACCCTTTCATCTCTACCCACCACATTCTTTCTCTAAGCCTGTAATTGGATCTAAATGGAAAATAAACCCTTTGCAGGCCAAGGAAGTTGGCACTAGAGGGTGACAAGAAGGGGAACGTGTTCCACCTCTAATCTGGATAATCACACTCTCCGATGCAAAGGAAAATAAAAACAAGGCTTCCTCCAAGTGATGGCTTTGGCCCTCAGCAAAGAGGAGGGTTTCCATGTACTGGGTCTTACTTCACACATTATCAGTCAGCTTGTAGTAAAACCACACCCAAATCATCTGACTTTCTAGAGGACCACGGGGCTCTGCCCCTTTAGCTCTAAACTCTTTTACCTCAGCTGAATTTGGGGAGGCAGTTCAGACACACAAATATCCTGGTGCTACAAGTTAAAAAACATTCATGTACAAAATGTACTGTCCGCGAACACTATGGTCTTAGCTGGACGGATATTCAGTGGTTCACTGGTAAGTTTATTGAGTCCTGCTGTGTATGGTATGCTGTGTTGGAACAGAGATGAACCAGAAAGGTTTGTCTTCAAGGAGTTTAGGAAGATGTGTAAAGAAATAAAAGTGGTGCATGCACGACTTGCTACTAGGTAGAAATTAACAGGTAGCATACCAAGGTCTAAAGTGTTAGGAGAATTCCATAGAAGGAGAGAGGACTTGATTCTCCAAATATTCTGGCAAATGTGATGGGACATGGTACATTCCAGAGAGATGCACTGATTAAGTCTGACTTGGTGTACACATTCAGAAGGGTCCGCTGGACTCTGTGTGGGAGTCTGGGGAAGGTCAGCTGTGTAATGGTGCAGCTATAAATCAGATGCATGAACTCTGTGCCTCTAAGTCATGTGGCTTGCATTTTTATTTTGATTCTGACATATGTTTGGGGTTTTTGTTTTCTTCCTTCCTTCCTCCCTCCTTTCCTTCCTTCCTTCTTCCCTACTCCCTCCTTTCCTTCCTTCCTCCCTCCCTCCTTGCCTTCCTTCCTCCCTCCCTCCTTGCCTTCCTTCCTCCCTCCCTCCTTGCCTTCCTTCCTCCCTCCCTCCTTGCCTTCCTTCCTCCCTCCCTCCTTGCCTTCCTTCCTCCCTCCCTCCTTGCCTTCCTCCCTCCCTCCTTGCCTTCCTTCCTCCCTCCCTCCTTGCCTTCCTTCCTCCCTCCCTCCTTGCCTTCCTTCCTCCCTCCCTCCTTGCCTTCCTTCCTCCCTCCCTCCTTGCCTTCCTTCCTCCCTCCCTCCTTGCCTTCCTTCCTCCCTCCCTCCTTGCCTTCCTTCCTCCCTCCCTCCTTGCCTTTCTTCCTCCCTCCCTCCTTTCCTTTTTTTTTTTTTTTTTGCCTCTCAGTCTACTCCACAGGTAATGGCAGAGGTCTAAGGAGGACTTCGCCCTGCAAGAGTTTAAAAATGACGGCTTTGGGAGATTAACCCACAGGGTACTACTGCTTGTTACTGCTGCTGGGAGAGAAGTGGGGTCTCTCATCTCCAAAACTGGAGACAAGGAAATGGAGGCACAGAAAAGTGAATTGGTCAAAACAGTGCAGCTAAAAAGTGGTAGGGCCAGGGTTTCAGTGCCTAAGGCTTTCCTTATGCTCTGCTACCTGCTGGAACCAACGCTCTATAATCCTGGACTTCAGTTCTCCATTGGCTTAGACTGTGTCTCTGCTCCCTTCCAGCTCACTTGTCCTCTAAGCCTGGCCTGCGCCCTCTCCCAGCTACATCCAGGTAAGTAGCTGGTGGGTGTTGGAGCTACAGGCACAGCTGCAGGCCCCTCCTGCAGTAATTCACCCGTGACCTTCTGGGCTCCTGGCCAGCCCTTCCTAAAAGGGAAACGTGCAGACCCTGGGGACAGAAATTAGTTCCCATGTGCTGGAACTGCTGCCATTGCCAACATCACCAACTAAAGAAACTGGTGCGTGTGTGTGAAAAACAAAACACTAGGATGACAGCAAGAGGGGAGATTCCTTATGAGTAAATATTACCCTCCCCCCAACCTTCTCCTCAATCCTGGGAGGGGAAAGGGAGGGGGGTAGGGAGGGTTTTTTTTTCCCCCCCTACAGACAATAGGATTACTATTAAAAAAAAAGTTTTACTTTATTTAAATTTTAATTAGCATCATCGAAGAACTAAATTTCTTTGCAAATACTTTACACAATGGCTTTTAAGAGTAAGTTTTTTTGGGGGGTGTGCCTGTTAGTTCAAATATGTATCCCCAACTATTCTGTTTTCTGGGAAGTCTTGGAATTTAATGAGTTTCCTGCTCCTTACGTTGAGGTAAGTATCCGCGCAACCTGGGGGAGGGACACGGGGAAAAGGAAGAATGTGGGTAAGTACAGAAAGATCGTAGCTCACCTTTTGAACTCCTTGCTTGAGGTCCTTAGCCACCTTTGCCATCTTCTGTGGTGCAGGAACAGCGCCTGGCTTCTCGGGCAGAGGCGCGAGGGCGCGCAGCGGGGACAGCGCTGGCTGAAGGGCCAAGTTCGCGGGCCCAGGGGGAGCTCTGCGCGCAGCCCGGCGCCGCGGGGTCCTTTAATTGGAGAGCGGGACTCCCTCTAAAACCGCGCCAGCCAATCCTCGCGGGCGCTCGCGCTCGGCCAGCCAATGGCAGCGCGCGGCTCCCCCCCCCCCTCCGGGCGGCCTGGGCCGGGCCGGGCGGCTGCGGCGGCGCGAGCGCTGCTCTGACGTCAGTGCGGCCGCGGCCCCTGCCTGCCCTGGCGGCTTACATCTGTCCCTCGAGCGAGCGGCAGGAATCCGTCCCCACGCCCTTCTCCTTTAAAGGACAACGGGCAGAGGGTGGGGAGGGCCGCTGCGCCCCCGCGATCCATTCAGGTCAGAAGGGAGAGTGATCAAACAGGAAGGCTGAGGTATTTTTAGTGAGCTGGGTCCAAAAATAAGTGCTGAGCCGTGTTCCCCTTCCCACCCTTTCTGCCTTGTCCTAGGCGGGTGCGGGGCCCGCTAACTTTCCCAAACCGGGGCAAGTCCTCCAATCACCACACAGGAGGTGAGAACCCCGTGAGTTAGGATTTTTTTTTCAATTAATATCTGTAAATTATTAATCTGTCTTTCATAACTTGCTTTGTGTAAATCCTCCCAGTTCAGCGAGGAGAATACAGTCCTGATTTTATAAGCACTGAGATGTACCTCTTTCTAGTTTCAGAATTACCTTGGGTGGTGGTGTTACCGTGATGATGATGATGATGGTGATTATCACTTGCACTTGGTAGATGAGGACATAGGCTTAGAGAGGGTAACTGGTCCAAAGTTGAACTCTTCGGCAAGGCTTTAAATCTGAGTTAGTGAGAGTGAGAACTTACCAGGGGAGAAGGGGCACAGGATGACAAGAAGCCATAAACTAGGAAATTCTAGTTAAACTCCATAAATTGGGCTATGGAGATCTGGACAAGCAAGATTCCATCTGTGGATTTCTCACATCCTTGGGGTGAAGTGTCTGGCAACATCTAACATAACAAGTCCTATAGGACAATATGAACAAAGTCTTCCCTCACTATGCCATGTTGTGTGCCTGTAAATCCACATCTCTACTGAGCCAGTTCCACAGACCTGGGGTCCCAGAGGCATTTTCTTCCCTACCCGGACAGAGGACTAAACCCCAGCCCTTTTTTACCCTGGGGAGAATACTGCTCTGTTATGAGGTTTTCAGTCCTGTAACTCACGCTGGCAGTACCCCCTGCCAGAAACTAGGGCTCAAGTGGGCTACCATAAAACTAAGTTGCAGGGAGACTGAAGGGGAGGGGGTCTCAAAGTATTTCATATGACTGATTTGGGGGGGTGGGGGAACTGCAGGTCACATTCTAGGGCTTTCTCTCTAATTGGAGGTACTTTAAAGCCTCCTCCATTTTGGTTCTTAACACATCATCATCCCCACCCATCCCAAATCTTGACCAATCATCCCAGATTATGATTCCTTTTTTACATTCCTGGAAAGGGCCTTCTGTGTGTGATTCCCCTTTTCTTCTCTCATGGATCTGCTATAATTGATGTTTGTTTTGCTTGCTCCCAGCTGTAGCCCCAACACCTAGCATGTGATAGACACTCGGAACATGTGTGTTGAATGAATGCAGGCTGGGTTCTGGCTTTTAATCAGTAGTGAGCAGGCAGGCAGGACTTAGGAAGAGATGGTGCAATGCTATACCTTGGTCTCTTTTGCCCAAACATCTAAGGTGGGCTGCACATTAAACCAGTGTGTAAATAAACGGTGGCCAACAGAAGCCTGGCCTGGAAGAGGTTTCCATGTGAATAGCCCATTCAGTAGCAGATCCTAGGAACAAGAGTGCTGAACTGGGATGTCATGCCAGAAGCCTTTATATTCCAGAGTTATAGGAACAGAAGCCAGAGAATAACAAAGACATGCTTTATCCCTTGCAAACTGGGCGGAAGCCTTCCCAGTGAAGTCATTTCTCACTCCCTTCCCAGCCACCCTTCTTGCCCCGTCTTGAGAAATTATTGTTCCATGGAATAATTCCAATTTTACTAACTTTAACACTGAATATCTCCAAACTCATGACCCCCTTTCCCTCCTTATTTTTACCCTTGGCCCCTGTGTCAGTTAAGGAGGCAGATATTGTGGCTATTTCTCAGAATGTGAGAATCAGGAGCTACTGCTTGGAGTGGCCCAGTCTCTTTTTTCTGGAGAATTACCTGTTGTGGCTGGAAAGGTGACCCCCAGTCCCTGCTAGTACTTATTCTTTCCCTGGCTAAAGATGCTCACTCTGACTCTGAACACTACTCTTGAGCCAGATGTTCCAGGGGACCTATAGTCAGAATCTTGGCTGGACAGCTAGACAGACTATTATGATTTGGGACATTCTGGAAAATGGAAGAGATATGGCCATTATATCTTAGCTTCATTCTAGCACTGAGATCCTTTTGCTTCTCTTTGGAAGAAAATGGGCTCTCTTTTCTAGGTTGGAACAGTGACAGATCTGATTTTCCCAAGGCTCATGGCTTTGTGGTGCTAGGGCTTATTAGAAGCTTCATTCATCCACCAAGTAGTTTTGGGGCACCTGCCTTAGCCAAGCCAGCTGGGTGCTGGGTACACCCCAGGTAAATAAAAGAATCCTTCCCCGTCAAGAATGTCTTGGTCTAATAAATGTCACTGGGGCTCTCCGGTTGACAAATCTCTTCTCTTACTTGAACTACGGGACAATCACAGAATAATTCTAATTATTCCATAATAATTCTAATTATTTTTCTGGGAGAAAGTGGAGATTTGGGACAGTCAAGGGCTCTATCCAGGGTCACACAGTCAGTAAGTGGCAGAGCTAAAATTCGAACTCAGGACTTCTAACTCCAAACTGTGTCCTTTCAACTGTACCACACTACCTCCCAAATGAATTTTAGGGATTGACTACAGGGAAAAAAGTATGCACTTGAAGGAAGATGGTATTGTTGTTATTGTCATTATCAGTGGGTTTGTCCTAACTGGGATTTTTGACTCTGTGTCTCATGCCCTTTTCATTATTCGTTCATTCATTCATTCATTCATTCACTCATTCAACAAACATTGAACTGAGAACTACAACGGGTTAGGAAGCCCAGCTGAGGATATGACAGACCATGAATAAGACAGGAAAGGTTCCTGCCCTCACACAGCTTCTATTCTAGTGGAGGGAGACAGGCATTAAACAAGGGAACAGGTAATTAGATAAGGTAATTGAGGATGGCAGTGAGTGCCTTGGAGGAAGTATGGAGGAGAGATTCCATATGTGGTCCATTCACATCAGGTGGTCCAGTAAAGGCCTGACTGAAGGGGTCATGTGAGCTGAGACCTGAAGGAGAAAAATGAGTCAGCTATGAATAGAGTCGCCATGGAAAGAACATTTCAGAAGGATGGAGTCATGAGTGCAAAGACCCTAAGGTGGGTACAGGCTTTCTATGTCTGAGGGATCATAGGTTCCTGTGGCTGGAGGGTAATTAAGGACAGGGAGAATGCATAAGGGGACATGAGGAGTAGGCAGTGACTAGATCACATTGGACCCTTCTATGGAGGCTAAGTTCTTTTTTGAGAACAGTGGGGAATTATAGATGAATACTTTCCAGCTGAGACATAAGGTGTGCCAAATATGTCATATAAAAATTTCTAATAGATACATTAGAAAAAGTAAAAGGAAACAGGTGAACTATTTATAATATATTTTAGTTAACCCAATATATCTCAAATGTTGTCATTTCTACGTGTGATTGATATACAGCATTATTGAGGTATTTTACATTCTTTTTTTTGGTGTTATCTCTTTGAAATCTGGTATGTGCTTTACACTTGCAGTACACCTCTCTTGAGATCAAACATATTACAAATGCTTAGTAGTCATTTGTGGCCAGTGGCTATCATATTGGACAGAGCAGTTACAGAGTTTTAAGTGTGTGGGGGAGGATGACAGTATCTGATTTACTATTTAATTCACAGCAAGGACACCCAAGGGGTACTAATAGAGACCTAGCTCGTAACTAACAATCCCTCATTATCAGGTGGAAAGACTGAGGGTCTGAGAACCAATAACTACATGTCTGGTCTACTCTGTTTCAGGCAGTGCACTGGGAAAGACAAGTGATTTGCCCAAAGTCACAAAGCTAGAAAGAAGCCAAGCAAACCTTGAACCTAGATCTTTTGGCTTCATGTCAGACACTTTAGGAAATCTCCAGTAATCATGGCTCCCAATGACGATACTTTTATTGTTACATTGTAGCAAGTGTGGCTTGGTTGTTTTAGTATGCAAACATAAGGATTGGCTTCTATTTGGTTATGACTTTTTAGATATATTGTATTCATTAAAATACTCAACATTTAAAGAGTAGGTATATGTGAATAACCCATGAATCACCTAATATATTTTGGTGTGTATTAATTGATACAAATAATCCCTGAAGCATATAGTATATTTTAATATATATTAGTTGATATAAATATGCCCCAAACCACTTATATGTTTTAATTTGTATCAACTTGGACCATCATTCATACCATGTATATAAGAATTGTTCACAACTTACATTTTTTTGGTTTCTTTCCTGTCATTCTTACAGTAACTTTAATTTTAGAATAACTATCTAATTTTCTCCAGATTTTTGGATGGCTTCCTAGATCAAGAAAGGCTTTGCCTATAAGGCCAAAACATCTGGATAAAAACAAAACTTGGTTGTTAGACCCAAGCATTCTCCTGCCTTATAGCCTAGCTTTAACAGGGACGATGAAGGACATGAGGAAACTCTATCCATTGTGAAGGAGCACTGGATCAGGAGTCCAGAGCCCTACATTTTGATCCTAGCTATGTTAAAATGTTGTGGCTGGCTATTATCTCTAAGGCCACTTGCAACTCAAATGTATTATTATTTACTAGGAGCAAGTGATCAATTTTCTCTGAGTATCAGATATATATCCTACTTGGTGCAATGGAGCCATTCTGTTCTTTGCCAGGTCAACAAGAGTATAAAGAGTTACTGCTTAGTTAGGATCCAAATCCAACTGGGATCACTCACGAGATGCCTGGCTTTATAATAAGGGCTTAGCTTGGACCAGAAGGGGAGACAGGGTTTCTTACGTTTTGGGATTATTCTGGATGTTTTCTGTGTTTCCCTCCAGATCCACTCTTTGCTCTCCTCCTCCAGTTCTGTGCCTGGTAGGCTGACTGACACAGGACTCCCTCCCTACTTGGGCCCCTTTGCTGTCTTCCGGGGAGCAGGAGACTCTGGTAGGAGATGAGGGGTGAGTATATTTAATCTTTCCTCTTCCTCCCTCTTGGCCGGGGTTTTAGAGGTGGTAGTCATGTTCTTCTACCTCTAGGTACAGCTCCTGTGAGCCTGGGTATAGCTCTCTCCCATGGTCCCTTCAGGCCTGGGGATGGTCTCTGCTTCCTGCTGTCACTAGCCTCAGGGCGCTTCTTCTCCTCATGTGGGTCCATTGAACCCCGTTTTCTTCTTCATTGATAGTGCCTTTATTAAACTTCATCCGGTTACTCCTTCAAGTGTTTCTAGCCAGGACCCTGACCCATACAGAAACAAAGTGTGTTTTAGAGATGATCTCAGTTGGCCTTTGCAGGATTGTTGAGATATAGAGCGCCCTGTGGGTTTCTCATGGAGTTTTTTCTGCTTTTTGCATGTGAAGTAGTTAAAATGATTTGGGGCTTGGCAATTAATTAGAATAGGAAAACCGGTTAGAGGTACTGGGAGAAACAAGACAGAAATTTGGGGACCTTCCCTAGGGCAGGTCTGCCGGCTGACCATGGAGTTCTTCAGCCATTGAAAGTGACTTTAGGTATATAAATCCCTTGTGCCTCAGTCTTCTCCTTTGTCAAAATGGGGCTCACTGTGAGGAGTGAATGTGGGGTCATATGCAAAAGTTTGGCCGAAACCTGATGGCCCTTCCAAATGTTCTGTTCCCATGCCAGGGTTCCAGCTGACATGAATCTAGTCTTGCATCTTTGGGGATGAGGCTTGAATGTGAGACACTGGGGAACTTGGAGCAATTTGCTAAGGTGGACCCTCTTGAATCATTGTAATTTACTGACCTGCGTGTACTTTGCAGCCAAAATGTACCAAAATACTTGTGTTCTACATGGCCCAGTGTGAGTGAGGTGTTGCTATGGCTTACTAAAAACAAAATATCTTGAACAGGATAGAGGGGCAATATTGCAGCTCCAAGTTCCTAGTTTAAGAATGATCTTGATCTTTGGGGGAGGGGGATCGTGGGAGGGGTGGACTAGCTTGGACAGGTTGGGTGGTGGATTGACAGTGGCCTATCCAAGAGGGGATTGTCCAGCTTCAAGGGACATGCTCAGGATAATTGGTACCAAATGCCATTTCTGAGCTACCACCAACATGACTGCCCGGCTCTTTCCAGGGGCAATTTTATTGCATCCTCCCAGCACCTTCCTGAGGCAAGTGGTCTTATTCCCACTTTACAGAACAGCAGACTGAGCCCTAGGGATGTTAAGTAATCATCCCAAGGTCACGTAGCTGGTTACAGAGCAGGAATTTGGACCCACATGTGTCAAACTCCAGAGATGGTACTGATGAGAAGTACAGGACACCAGCTAAAGCCCCAGTAATCATTTCCTTGGCATCATGTGCCAGGGCACGCTAATCACATTTAATTCCTTATAGGATAGGGTCTGGATCCCTCTGATAGAAATAAACCTCTGCCCCCCTCACTACACACACAGACACCTAACACCTGTGGTCTAATTGTAGGTGTTCCTCAACAACCTAATTATGGGGACCATTTAGGACAAAATTCTATTTTGGAATAACTTTGTATATACTAGATAATGGGGGAAGATCAGACCTGTTCAACCTATTAGGGTTAAAGAGCCAGGGATTGGGGGAAGCATTGTAGCACCCCTGTTTCCTAGGAGACCGGAGATAAAAATCAATACAGTAAAAGACATCATCATCATCTTCTCTCATTATCACATTTTCCATTCTGTTAGCCATCTTGGCATTTTAATTTTCCATAGCCTTATGAACCTGCATTACCTGGTAACATCTCCTCATGGGATATTGAAATCATGGGGAAAAATGATGTAGTTGCTTTTGTATATTACCTTTAGGGGCAAAGTTGACATATGTGGGTTTTGTTCAGATTAAAATGTCTGAGGTCCTATTTATGAACTTGCATCACTCATAGTTTGGAACCAGTTCTGTGGCTTGGGTTCAAGGCTAAAAGTAGGATGCATTGTGGAGGAGATGATGTCTGGCTTGATCCGCTTCCTCTCTGTTACCTGCCTTTGCTCAGTGATTAAATTGCCTGTCTGAGCATCGCATTCTGACCTACACTCTTGTGTTTTACTTCATGCTGCAGCCTCCTTACTCCTCTTCTGCCCATCAAAATCCACCTGACCTAAGCACCTTCTCTCAGCACCCTGCCGGACCTCCCTCACTGGGTTTGGCAGCAAACTGTTGAGAAAAGGTTGAAGGTTTTGAAGTCAGACATATCTGAGTTTGGGCCCTGGTTATATTAATTATTAGCTATGTGGCCATGAGCAAATTAACTTTTCTCTTAGACTGTTTTAGCTATAAGATGGAAATGATCAGCCCTACTTCCAGAGGGTGGCACGTGTGAAGCACCCAACCCATTGCTTGGCACAAAGTAATACCCATGGTTTCCTTCCTCTCACAAGATTTCTCTTCGTTTCAATGTCCCCCCAGTTCTTCCTTGTTTATCACAAAGAGATTCAGAGTACCCCACTATTCCTTCCTCTAGCCTCTGGGAGATGAAACTTACATGAGACTGTTTCTGCCGACATTGTTTTACTTGCATGCTTGTGGCAGATGGTGATTAGGTGCAGGCATGGGTAAACTTCTCACATGATTAGTGGGCATCTACCCAAAGCAGACAGAGGGCCAGGACCTCAAAGGTATCCCATCCACTGCTGTGGCACGTACCCTCTGCTTGGATGCTTTCCGTGTTCAAGAACTCATTCTTTCACCAGACCGATCTAGCAGTTTTGTACATCTCTCCTTGTTAGAAGGTTCTGTGTTACTTTGGCTGACATCTGTCTTCCTAGAGCTGTCACCTGCCTGTTCTTTCCAGCCTCTGAAATCCATTTGAAGGGCTCTCCCTTTCTCATATGATGACAGTTGATCTATTAGAAAACTGTTGTTCATATGTTCACAAGGTCTTCTCCCCTCCAGACTTTAGGTACTATTTTATCCTGCCTAAATTATATTCCATTATTCCATTCCTCTTTGTCAGCAGGCATGCTTTCCCTTTCTCAGGAGCAATGTTGCAACCTGTGGAGGGGTAAGAGCATCAGCTTTGAAGTCAGGCACATTTGGTTCAAATACCTCCATGGGCACCTACTGGGAACCTCAACTTACCTATCTGTAAAATGGAAGCAGTAATACCAATATTATAGTACCCCCAGGCAGATTAAATGTGCTGATGTATAGAAAGTATGCAATCTCTTGCCCAGCATGGAGAAGAGGCAGTAGCTGTATAATTATTATTTATTAATTTCCAGGAGAGTAGCCACCATGCTCGGTTTTCTTAGAAAATCTTCCTAGTGACCTTTAAGGCTTTCATCAGTCTGGAAATGGGAGCTTTCCCCACCCCCCGTTACACCAGGAAAATGGCATTAAATGAGTGTTCCATTGATTTTGTTACAATCACAAGATTCTTAGGAGGAAGATAGGATAGTCAAAATACCATTCCATGGTCATTTTAAGTATGTTCATTCAAGTCAGGTTTTAATTTAAAAACATTTTGGTGGGGCGCCCTGGTGGCTCAGATGGTTAAGCGTCTGCCTTCGGCTCAGGTCATGATCCCAGGGTCCTGGGATCGAGTCCCACATCGGGCTCCCTGCTCCTTGGGAGCCTGCTTCTCCCTCTGCCTCTCTCTCTCTCTCTCTGTGTCTCTCATGAATAAATAAATAAAATCTTTAAAAAAAAACCATTTTGGATATTCTGTGGCTAAACATGTACATTCTAAGAGGTCCTTTGGGATTGCAGCAGAATGTTCAGACATTCATGGGCAGAATTCCAGTACGTTTGAAAGATGAATGTGTCCTGTGGCTGATGAACAAGGTATGAAGACACCAAATCCCCCTGACGAAGTCCAGCAATGCCTTGCCACTGATCGGCCTTTCTGGAAAGACTAGATGAGCTCACCAAGAAGAAAGGGGTGGATGGGAGATTTCAGGAAAGATTCTTAGTTATCAGAAATTAGGCATTGAAAGATCTGGGGCTTCCTGTTGATTCCCTAAGTTGTTCTCACAGCCCAAGACACATGGTTGGGCCATGATGTCATCTGACATAGATAGACACACTGAGGCCAGAAACTGTCAAGCAGATTCTGGATCATGATGGAGGGTGGGAGGGATGTGAAATTTGAGGGCCATGTGAGTATGGAATGAGTAATGTTTTCCAGTAGGGTATTATCACCCATCCTATCATTGATAGGGGTGGGGGAAGAACTGAATTCTAAGATATTCAAAGTATTATATATCCCCCTAAATACCCTGCTTTTCCAAGTTAAAATCCTGTGTTTAGTAGTCTAGTCTGTTGTCATGTTAGGACAATATTTTTATATCCAGTTGAATTTAGATGACCAATCTCAATCATTCATTCATTCGTTCATTCCTTCATTCATTAAATCACTCAGGTGGTCATTCAGTCATTTGGCCTGTGGTTCTAGCAGTTATTCAGTCTGTCACTTCATTGGTCCTTTGGATGTTCAGTCTTTCAGTCATTCAACGAATACCTATTGGACATCTTTTTCTGTACCAAGAGCTCTGCTGGGTGTGAGACATGCAACAGTGAAAAAAGGTTCACAGAATCTACTCTCCTGGGAAAAACAGATGTTAAACAAGCAATTACAACAAAAGGTGATGAATGGGGAGCATTATGATAGGAAAAGCATGGGCCAAGGCAAAAGAAGTTCAGTTTGGCTGGAGATCACAGTTTTCTATTACCTAAAACGTCAGATCCCAATGGCTTAACTTCCTGGGTGTCTAAATACATAACTCCAAACACTCATCCATTAGAAAGAATAAGCACTGATATGCGTGGAGCTCTTGCCATGTAGCCAGCCACTGAGCCAAGTCCTTTACAAAGATGGTCACACTTAATCTTTCCTGAGTTAGGGACTCTTAAGTATCCCCATTTCACAGACGAGGAAGTTGAGGCTCAAAAAGGATAAACAGCTTGTCTGTAGTCACATAGGGTGAAGTTGCAGCGCCAGGAGTTGAACCCTGGTCTGTCTGATTATACAGTCATGGTAATAACCATGAAAGTTTCCCCCGCAACGATGTGTCCAGGAAGTGGAAAATCTGAGAAGTCAGGGCAAAGAGAGCCTTTGGACCTTCCTAATGTACTCCCAAAGAATCAAGAGCTCTGCAGTGAGCCTCACAGCCCATGGGAAAAAGAGCAAGAACTTGGGGTGACCAGGTCAGGGAGCATCATGGGGAAAACTATGTTCCTGCATCCCAGAAAGCATGAGAAACTTTGCGGGAAGTTATTTGTAACAGCAAAAAGAGCTTAGGCAATCCAATCCGGAAACAAATCAATCTTATTCTTGCATGTACATTTTAAATGCAGTTAGAATAATATAAAACCGAATTAGAAAACCTAATATCCACATGATGTCTTTATTTAGTGTAAAGCAATCCATTACACACGCTCGCTTTCCTTTTCGGTGATTAAAAAAATAAAGTGAGTCAGTCATTTTTGCAAAAATAGTTCCATATTTCAAAAGAAAATAGTTTTCTTAGAGAACATAGCCTTCTCTATTTTTTTCTCTCTCCTTATATCCCCTCCTCCACCTCAGTAATAAATATCTCCTGCCCAGATGTTAGATCATGTTGAGACAGTTTGGAAATCTTTGTGCTTAATTTAGACATGATTCATGTACACATTGAGTAGTACCTAAGTTTGGCCAGGAATGAGGATAGTTGCTCGTGGTGGTGGTGATTCAGGCTTGCCCGTGAGTGATCCGTCTTCTATCACTTGAGATACTACTCAGTTTCTGTGATGACTCAACTTGAGTCTGTGCAACTATGAATACAACGGTGAGCTCCCTCAGCAGCTTCCCATGGCGTCCCCCACGTGGTTAGAGATGATTCTGTGCTCATTGGCACTTGCTGAGTTGGTGCCATGTATTCTCAATGAAGGCACGAGTGCGTCAGGTTTCCATGTGTTCAGCTGTCAGTTCTGCTTGGTATTCTGCAGTTACCCCGGGTCTAGTCCATACATCATCTCCTTATTCAAAGGGATGCTTTTACCCGATGTCTTCATTATCATCAAAGAATCTCCTTTCTAGGGCACCTGGGTGGCTCAGTTGGTTAAGCGACTGCCTTTGGCTCAGGTCATGATCCTGGAGTCCTGGGATCGAGTCCCGCATCGGGCTCCCTGCTCGGCGGGGAGTCTGCTTCTCCCTCTGACCCTCCTCCCTCTCATGCTCTCTGTCTCTCATTCTCTCTCTCAAATAAATAAATAAAATCTTTAAAAGAAAAAAAAAAGAATCTCCTTTCTAGGCTCAAGAACCACAAGCCTCAGAATCCAGCTTATCTGCCTATATCCCATATTGGTATGCAATGGTACCTCTTTTTTTTTTTTTTTAAAGATTTTATTTATTTATTTGAGAGAGAGAATGAGAGAGAGCACATGAGAGGGGGGAGGGGCAGAGGGAGAAGCAGACTCCCCGCCGAGCAGGGAGCCCGATGCGGGACTCGATCCCAGGACTCCAGGATCATGACCTGAGCCGAAGGCAGTCGCTTAACCAACTGAGCCACCCAGGCGCCCGCAATGGTACCTCTTGACACCAAGCAGTACTACTCTGCTTGTGCGTACTGCAGCTGCCACCAGCACCACCACAACCGGCACTTCTCTTCCCACCAGGAAGCGGGATTTAGAATGTTACAAATACTGGTTGAATTCCTTATATGCTTTATCTCAATTATTCTGCATACCAGTCACATGTAGTATATTTATTATTTATTTATTTTTAAAAATTTATTTATTTATTTGAGAGAGAGGGTGAGCGAGAGAGAGCACAAGCAGGGGGAAGAGCAGAGGGAGAGGGAGAAGCAGGCTCCCCATCGAGCAGGGAGCCCAACGTGGGGCTCGATTCCAGGACCCCGGGATCATGACCTGGGCTGAAGGCAGATGCTTAACTGACTGAGCCACCCAGGTGCCCCCACATATAATATTTAGATCCTGATTTTGCTTAGGAATTAAAATCAAGGCTTAAATATGTGAAGTAACTCACTTATAGTCTCACTGATAGTAAATCGCAGAGGTATTATCTAAACCCAACTTATTTGACATGATGCTTTTAACCAAGACATCAGTATTTTCTACCTTCCTGATCTTTTTCTCCATCTCATATCGTCATATCACCTCTGTGCTGTTACTTATGTAATACTGGCAGCCTGGTACTCACTACACTCTTGTGAACTAGGCTGCAAGAGGACACAAGTCGTTTGCAGCCTGCAGTACTAGTAACCTACTGATCCTGGGACCACCATCTGCATCATCTATCAGAATAAATCCCCTGAAGGAAAACAGAAATCCTGCATTAGCATGGACTCTGGAGGATGACATTCAAGCTCCCAGTCTCCTCTCTCTGGCGGACACTTTTCTTGTCAGTCTCCAGGTAAGAGAGATTGCTCTTTGCTACATGACTTCTTTACCCTGCTGTACTATAATTTTGTGTTCTCTAGTGAGGACCTCAGTTCTTTCTAGGAACAGTCTTGGGCATCTCTAACATTTTTTTCACACTTCTATTTCTCTGGGTTGAACAACTCTAACCTCTGCCCACAAGAACCTGGTGGTGTATTTGGAAATTAGAAATTATCCTTGGTTGGGTGACTGCCTTCGGCTCAGGTCATGATCGTGGAGTCCCGGGATCGAGTCCTCCATTGGACTCCCTGCTAGTGGAAGGTCTGCTTCTCTCTCTGCTGCTCCCCCTGCTTGTGTGTGCGTGCTCTCTCTCTCTCTCTATCTCTCTGACAAAATCTTTAAAAAAAAAGTTTATCCTATGGTTTCTAATTTCATGGGGACTCTAGAGACTGGTGACTTCCAGTGCTGCCTTTAGACTCAGGCAAGAGTGGCTCCTGTCCTGTGGATTCCACTCTGGTCCTGGTCCCCTGACCACCCATCCCTTCCAGGCTAGGCTTAGGTTCCATGGACCCCAGAATTCTCTTCTTGAATCCCATTTCTAGAACAGAGTGGAACTCAGCCCAAGGGCCATTCTCCTCTAAGAATGGACCTTGTAACAGTCTGCCCCTAGGCCCCAGGGGGAAACCAAGAGGTGGTTGTTAATGGGGTGTGGATGGAGTTTGAGTATCTGTACTTATTTGGGCAAGACCCCTTGGGGTGTGGGGCAGAGCTAGGAGTGGGAAGAGAAGGTGGAGACAGGCCAGAAGCCAGAGGGGAGTCCAAGAGCTTGGAACTAAAATCCAGCCTTCTAGGTTGTTTTGAAGACATTTGTCATGGTAGGAGGATAGAACATATTTTTATTAGGCAGTGCATTAGCTTGATTTATAACTTCTGATTATTTAGACACATATCTCGTGAGCCTCCACTTCTACCCTTTTGCCCTGGCTCCTTCAAGTGTTAGGGATAAGCCTGTTAGCAACTACTAGGGCAACCAGTAGTCCCAGTGTATCTGAGACTAAGGGGTTTCCCAGGATTCAGGATTTAAAGTGCTAGTGGAAAAAGACGCAGGAAAACTGGGAGAAAGTGTGTTGATCACTCTAGACCACCCACTCCCTAAAATGTGGTGACTCTTGTTGATTTATATAACTGTACAGAACTCAAACTCCTTCCTGGGGCAGAAAGAACTTCGATTTACATTTTCATCATAATAGTGTGCAAGAAATTTCATTTAATGATAGATCTTCTCTCAGAGTCAGGAGATAATTAAAGGTCATTTAACCATTGGCAGGCATACTGTCTCCAGGGCAGGATGCAGCCATTAGCAGTGGCCTTTGTAAACTTGCCACTAAAATCAATAATGAGAATTCATTGACCACTAGAAGAAGAAACACCATCAAAATTGTTGCTGGAAGTCCAAATAGCTTCGTATACCTTGGACTGTCCCATTTCTTCAAGAAAGAGGAGAGAGGGGATGTTTCCATGTGGCATTATTTCTATCGCTACCCAGTTCCAACTTTCCAACTTGGCTACAACTACCTAAAACAGCTCCTTTCTAGGGAGCCTACAGGTGCCTAAGAGCTAGGGATATTTTGAGGTGTTTGGCAACTGGGAAAAGGGGAGGTAGAAGCATCTTTAGCCAAACAACTTTCTGGGCAAAATTGAGAGGTAGGTGCAGTTAATTTCTACCCATGCTGCTGTTTCTACTTTTCCCACCATTTTGTTTCCTGAGTTTTTAGGAATAAGACATTCATTCATTTATTCATCCATCCATTCATTCAGAAAATGGGGCCAAGAGTGGTAGCACTGCATGCAAAGGAAACAGCACGAGCAAAGGCTCTGTGGCAGGAACATACTTGAAGATCTGAAAGCAGACTGGAGGGGCGGGCTGGAAAAAGAGGAAAGGGGAGCAGAATAGGGTCCAAAAGTTGGGTAGGGGACAGCTCACATGGGACTTTAGGGGCCACAGTACAGACTTTGGATTTAATCAAGTGCAGTGGATTGATGATCCCCAGAAATAGCCACATCGTCATCCGGGAACTGTCCATGTTACCTGATAGGACCAAAAAGGACTTTACAGATGTGATTAAATTCAGGATCTTGAGATGGGGAGATTATCCTGGACTACCCAGGGTCCTAGGTGCCATCACATGTATCCCTATCAAGAGGGAGAGTGGACAGACAGAGGAGGACAAGGCAGTGTGACCATGGAGGCAGAGGCTGGAGTGATGTGGCCCCAAGCCGAAGAAGCCTGGCTGCCTTGCCAAGCTGGAAGAGGCAAAGAACAGATTGTCCTCCAGAGCCTCCAGGGGGAGGGTGGCCCTGCTGATGTGCTGATTTTAACCCAGTGATACAGATTTTGAACTTCTGGTCTCCAGAACTGTGAGGTAATAAATTTTTGTTGTTTTAAGCCACCACGTTTGTGGTAATTTACAGAAGCCAAAGGAAACTGATACAGGCAGTTTTTGGCTTTAGGCTGGGATATGACCTGATGAGATTTCCATCCTTTGGTGACTGCTTTGAGAGCTAGGTGGAACAGAGATCAGAGGGGACAGAAGTAAGAATAAAAAGACTGGGAAGTTCTTGGCAGCCATGCAACCGAGACACTGGCCCCACGGAGGTGGAGAGAAGTAGAACATTCGCGATTTTCTTTGGAGGTAGAATGCCAGGACTTGCTGACAGATTGCCATCAGGAAAGCAGGCTTTAAAAAGTCATCAACAACTTAGTCTAAATGTAAGAAGGCCTTTTCCTCCAAGGGGAACTCATAATTTTAAAAAGAAGCACAGGGATAACCCAACAGTGGGATTTTAGGCTCTATAATACCCCATATGTGGAGAAAGAGACTTAGTGGGTTGTGGGCTTGTGGAGTTTCCCTGCAATCCATTCTGTTATGCTGCTTTGCTGACCACCTGCTCTGTTCATAATCTGTCACGAATCCTTTTTTAGAAGTACATGGATCGCAAATCAACAGATGGTATTTTCCATGCTGTCTCAGAGGGAATTTTCTGGGTTGGGGAGGCACCTGAAAGATGCAGTTTAAATGCCCCATTGATGTCCTTAAGACATTTCAAAGGTTTCTTGTACTGGTTCTCAAACTTCAGCCTGTATCTGCCTCACCTGGGGGAGCTTCTATGTCAGGCAGATTTGAGAAATGTGGCTCCAGAGATTCTGATCCTAGGTGGGGGAAGATTCTAGGATAGTGCTTCTCAGACTTTAAAGATTCTGATTTAGCAGGCCGGGGTGGAGCCTGAGATTCTGCATTTCTGATGAGCTCCCAGGTGATGTTGACACGGCTGGTCTCTGGAAAACACTTGGAATAACAAGATCCACAGAGATCATTTTCAGAGCTGTAAGCCCCCATGTGCCAAGGATGAGCCTGATGATGAGTTTGGATGTGATACCACACGTGTCAGAAACAAAGGTAGCCAGACACACTGCCAAGTCATCTTGGTGCAGCAGGCTCTTTTCCTCTTGAAACTGGTGACACTCTGCATTCTCTCCTGCTGAGCTCATAAATGCCTCCTTGCCAAACCCAACAGGGGCCAGCTTCCCAGACTGGGTTGTGAGGTTGAGGTTTGCCAGGCTCGCCCCTTCCGGGAATGCCGTGGGCCAGACGGCTTCCGTAACGCAGCACTGTCTGTCTTGCTGGGGGCCCATGAGGGTTGGCACGCCACATCATCGTGCTGTTTCCAACACATAGTCCCGGCCACGCTCTTCCTCCACTTCAAACCCTGCCCTGGTCAAACTCACTGGCCTACCCACAAAATTCCTCCTCCATCTCTAGCTTTTATAGTCTACAACCCACCCAGATTGAACCACCATGAGTTCCTTATTTCATAGGCTTGATTTCTCTTCCCTCCCCAGGCCTGTGTCACAGTTTAACTCAAACCATCCTCCCATGGTGGCGAAGGATACACACGGTAAAGAGAAAGAGGAACAGAATTGTGACATAAAGAGAGGCAGTGCAAACCAGTGGTTAAACACAGGTTTTAGTATAAATCCCAGCTCGGTCACACCTCAGCTGTGTGACCTTGGACAAGTCTCTGGGCCTCAGTTTTCTTCTCTTTAAAATGAGGTAAATGGGGGCACCTGGGTGGCTCAGTTAGTTAAGCGTCTGACTCTTGATTTCAGCTCAGGTCGTGATCTCAGGGTCATGAGATTGAGCCCTGCATTGGGCTCGAACCCAGTGCTGAGTCTGCTTGAGATTCTCTCTCCCTCTCCCTCTGCCCCTTTCCACCACTCCACCCTGCACTCAATACGCGTGCTCTGTCTCTTTCTCAAATAAATAAATAAATCTTTAAAAAAAAATAAAATGGGATAAATAAAATCTTTCTCACAGGGCTGTCAAAAGGGCTTAATGAGCTAATGTACTTAAAAGGCTGAATTTTGTGATAGGCCATAATAAGGGTGGAGATTAGCCATTCAGATTAGCCACTGCTCTTTGTCACTCTCTTCCTTTCTAACCTTCCCTCTGTTCCCCTTCTCTCTTTGCTTTTCCCCTTGAGATCTTGGGGCCTCCATAGAGGTACAGTTCTTGGCATTTCCTCCAGGTGAAATTCCACAGGGGTGGGAAGTATCGATTATATTTCAGAAACTGTTTTTGGTAATTGACCAATAGGAATGGTTTGGGACTGTCCACTTAGCTACATTATCAGCGGCACTTTAAAAGGAAATGAATAGAAATGCTCATTATTCCGGCCATTAGTCCAAACTTGGAACAAACAGGAATCTCTAGGTCCAAACATTTCCCCTGTAAAGCTTTGTTTACCTTAGAGACCGAAGTCAACACAATGAGGTCGAGATATCAGCAACATGGAAATTCTTGAAGTCAAGGGCAGCAGAAGCCTTTTATGAAGCTGGTGTCCAGGGCCACAGTGAACACCTTTTTCTCTAGGCTAAGGACAGGGGGCCGGGGGGAGCATTTCAGGGTTGCCCCATCAGACTGAGATTGGTTCATTATCTTTCATAGAGTCACATGTTTCTTTGAGAATCTTATG